GATGGGCTCCCCCGTCAGGGTGTAGTTGAGGCGCAGGGTGATGGGGGTCAGTGTGTCCTCAGGGCAGAGCTGGGGAGACAGAGAGACACGTAGGGACCCATGAGCAAAGGTGGGATCCATAGAGAGGTTTGTTCTCTGGGTGATTTGGGAGCAAGGGGCAGGGTTGGAGAGGCAGACACAGCAGGAGGGGAAGGAGCTGGGAACCCCCCACACTCACAGGTAACTTTATCTGATACGTCTCACATTTCTTCTCAATGCCGAGCCGCAGCTCCCTGCTCAGGACGGAGCTGGTGGAGTCAAAGGCGGCTCGGATCTTCGTCCGCCCGGGGTCCAGGGACAGGCTGTAATGGATGGTGCTGGAGATCCCATTGCCTACCACAGAGGAGAAATGAGGGTCAGAGACGTGAGAGCAGGATCGTTAATGGGATACGGAACATGGGGCCTTTCCCCTCTAGGGGGGCACCAGCTCTAATCTGGCCCCAGGGCTGGGACTGGCTGGCTCAGGAGGTGGGAATGGAATGCGAGGCTTTCCCCTCTACGGGGCATCACCTCCAATCCAGCCATAGGGCAGAGGGACTGGCTGGGTCAGGAGGTGGAAATGGATTATGTTTTTTTCCCCTCTAGGGGGCACTGGCTCCAATCCAGTTAGAGGATGGGGCACTAGCTGGCTCAAGGGGGTGGGGAATGAGACATGGGGCCTTTCCCCCCAGAGGGCGTTGGTTCCAATCCAACGCCAGGGCAGGGGACTGACTGGCTCGGGGGGTGGGTTTGGTCTGACCTAGGCTGTCCATGGTGCTCTTAGTGACGGTGAAGCAGACATTTGCACTGCTGGCCTTCGTGTTGAGCTGCTCCTGCTCCTGGCAGTTGAAGGCCGAGGTGGGGATGGTTGGGGGCTGGAAGCTGATGGAGACCCCGACTCTGAGCACTGGCCGGGACCTGCCATGGGAGGAACAGAACCATCACCCAGCTGCTCCCTGCAATGGGGCCAGGCCCCTTTCCCCCCCAGAGCCTCCCACCCAGCCTGGATGTGCTCACAGCACCCCAGGGAGATGGGTTATGGACACGCAGCTCTGCTAGAGGAGATGCTGGGGGACAGAGAAGGGAGCAGCAGAGCTGTCATTGTGCCATTCTCCAGCAGGGGGCAGCAGTGACACACACATGCTCCCAAACCCCCATGTATTGTCACTGTCTGTGACTGCCACGTGGAGCAGTGTAACGACACAGAGTAACTCACCTCAGCAGCAGGATCTGCCCTTGTGCCCCCACCGCGATGTCTGGCAGTCCGTCCCCCGTCAGGTCTGTCCCGCCACTGATGGCCTGGCCAAAGTAGTGCAGCCTGCTGGGAAACAGCGACCCCTCGATGCGCTGTGGGGCAGAGAGAGCAGTAAGGGGTGGGGAAGGGGCAGCTGTACTGTATAATGGGCACTAGGGGGCAGCAGAGGGTGAGGGATGGGAAAGTAGCTGCTACAGGCTAATAGGCACTAGGGGGATGTGGGGCCCCATGATGTCTCTTTCAGGATCTGTGGTGACCCCTCCCCGCAGGAGCTGGGCTCACCTGTCTGTACTGGGGACTGAGGCCTCCCTTTCCCCCATGGAAGATGTACAAGGCCCCACGATTGCTGTTCTCCATGGGGGCCCCGATGACCACGTCCGTCTGTCCGTCCCCGCTGATGTCCCCGATTTCGGACATGCTGGCCCCAAAGCGCCCGAACGCCTGCCCCG